CTATGTAACTGTATTTGTGTATACCTGAATAAGCTTACTTACTTACACCTGCTGTCACTGTTCACCTAGCAGTAAGTAGGTACCTGGGTGTTAATTACCTTACATCTGCTGTCACTGTTCACCTAGCAGTAAGTAGCTACCTGGGTGTTAATTACCTTACATCTGCTGTCACTGTTCACCTAGCAGTAAGTAGGTACCTGGGTTTTAATTACCTTACACCTGCTCTCACTGTTCACCTAGCAGTAAGTAGGTACAGTGAACACTGTATCAACATTCTCGGTTCCAGATTATTCAACATCTTACCACAAGATATCAGAAACACTGCTGGGACAAGTGTAGAAGTCTTCAAGAGGAAACTGGACAAGTTATCTTCACCAGGTGCCAGATCAACCAAGCTGTGACGGATATGTGGGTCAGCGGGCCACCACCAGCAACAGCCTGGTTGACCAGGCTAGCACCAGACAAGCCTGGCCCATTGCCGGGCTCCCGGAGTAGAAAAACTCTCGAAACTCATCAAAGGTAAAGTAAAGGTATATATTATGCAGATTTAACCTAGGTTCTAGGTTAAATATCAGCTTAATTGTAAAATAACTTAATAAGTCAAACTATAATAATGTAATACACTCCAATCCAATACTTACGTAATTAATCTCCATATTTTCTAAGTACGAAGTCTTGTGTCAATGTGGGCAGAGTCACAGATACATAATGACCGCTGGGGCAGTTCAACAGCCCATATATCACTACTTACCAACCTAAACAACCCATTGCCTCAAAAACATTAAACGTTAACCTTTTTTTCATACCAAACTGGCAAACTTTTTTTTTTTTAATCATTGGTCTTTCCCTTGGTGTTCAATTGTCCAGCTTCCTCCTATTAATAAGGTCCAGATATGATAGACTCGGTGAGGAATGGTGTAAAAATTGTTAAAAATTATAGCTGGTGTTGAAAGTTGGTTTACTGAGGGTGTGGTGACACACGACCAGGGTTCCTCCCACCTTGTGGGTTTCCACTTACACCCCAGTGGTCATATCCAGCCTTCTCACGTTTCTGTAACTCTCATAAATGTGAGGTACTGTTAATGTTTTATATATATATATATATATATATATATATATATAAAATATATATATTATATATATAAAATATATATATATGAAAGAACAGTGTAATTCCCTGATAATGTGATTAGTCACGAAAGCTCTTGGAATTTCACTATTCTTTCACAGTGGTTGTTTTGCATATTCTGATATCACCTGTTTACTGTGATCTTATATAAGTGAAATATATAAGTGAACAGTATTTAGATAAGGCTAAAGAGGTCTTTGTGGCATTTATGGATTTGGAAAAGGCGTATGACAGGGTGGATAGGGGGGCAATGTGGCAGATGTTGCAGGTGTATGGTGTAGGAGGTAGGTTACTGAAAGCAGTGAAGAGTTTTTACGAGGATAGTGAGGCTCAAGTTAGAGTATGTAGGAAAGAGGGAAATTATTTCCCAGTAAAAGTAGGCCTTAGACATAGATGTGTGATGTCACCGTGGTTGTTTAATATATTTATAAATGGGGTTGTAAGAGAAGTAAATGCGAGGGTCTTGGCAAGAGGCGTGGAGTTAAAAGATAAAGAATCACACGTAAAGTGGGAGTTGTCACAGTTGCTCTTTGCTGATGACACTGTGCTCTTGGGAGATTCTGAAGAGAAGTTGCAGAGATTGGTGGATGAATTTGGTAGGGTGTGCAAAAGAAGAAAATTGAAAGTGAATACAGGAAAGAGTAAGGTTATGAGGATAAAAAGATTAGGTGATGAAAGATTGGATATCAGATTGGAGGGAGAGAGTATGGAGGAGGTGAATGTATTCAGATATCTGGGAGTGGACGTGTCAGCGGATGGGTCTATGAAAGATGAGGTGAATCATAGAATTGATGAGGGGAAAAGGGTGAGTGGTGCACTTAGGAGTCTGTGGAGACAAAGAACTTTGTCCTTGGAGGCAAAGAGAGGAATGTATGAGAGTATAGTTTTACCAACGCTCTTATATGGGTGTGAAGCGTGGGTGATGAATGTTGCAGCGAGAAAAAGGCTGGAGGCAGTGGAGATGTCATGTCTGAGAGCAATGTGTGGTGTGAATATAATGCAGAGAATTCGTAGTTTGGAAGTTAGGAGGAGGTGCGGGATTACCAAAACTGTTGTCCAGAGGGCTGAGGAAGGGTTGTTGAGGTGGTTCGGACATGTGGAGAGAATGGAGCGAAACAGAATGACTTCAAGAGTGTATCAGTCTGTAGTGGAAGGAAGGCGGGGTAGGGGGCGGCCTAGGAAAGGTTGGAGGGAGGGGGTAAAGGAGGTTTTGTGTGCGAGGGGCTTGGACTTCCAGCAGGCATGCGTGAGCGTGTTTGATAGGAGTGAATGGAGACAAATGGTTTTTAATACTTGACGTGCTGTTGGAGTGTGAGCAAAGTAACATTTATGAAGGGGTTCAGGGAAACCGGCAGGCCGGACTTGAGTCCTGGAGATGGGAAGTACAGTGCCTGCACTCTAAAGGAGGGGTGTTAATGTTGCAGTTTAAAAACTGAAGTGTAAAGCACCCTTCTGGCAAGACAGTGATGGAGTGAATGATGGTGAAAGTTTTTCTTTTTCAGGCCACCCTGCCTTGGTGGGAATCGGCCGGTGTGATTAAAAATATATATATATATATATATAAATATAATTATATATAAAATATATATATATATATATATATATATATATATATATATATATTATATATATATATATTATAGGATGGGGTCCACCTCTGGTGTAAATTGTGGGACCCACAGCCTCGGAGAAGTGAATAAAAAGGCTTCAAGGAAGAATATTTGGATTTCTTCCTGAAGCCGTTTGAACATTCCACTTCCCCTACCACCCCATCTTATATATATATATATATATATATATATATATATATATATATATATATATATATAATATATATATATATATATATATATATATATATGCAGGGGATGAGATGAAAAGCTGTAAGCCTTCTCCCTGAAAGCTGGCTGCCTTGGATCAAACGTGTAGCGCAAGCTACACGCCAAGGTATTGTCCAGTGTGGGTAGATTGGTAAAGCACTGCGTACCTTGTCCTAAGGTTCGTAGGTTCGAGTCTCCTTCAGCCAGAGATCAGTATTTGTGCCATCAATATTTATGCCACCTTTATATCAACAATGTATCTCTTAAATCTTCTGTAATATATATATATATATATATATATATATATATATATATATATATATATATATATATATATATATATATATATGCAAAACAACCACGGGGAAGTTGAATAATGGTTCTAGGCCTTTCGTGTTGCAATCAACAAATCAGGAACTTGCAATGTTGCAGAAATGAGTAAGAGATGTCATCAGATTCGTCCAGAGGGGCGCATCACCCCAGCTTCCTAGTGTACAACTGTGTGTAAATGTTGAAGCCACTCAGAAAAGGCTTTCTCAAGTTATCCTTTGATATACCTTTGACGAGTCATACTACTCTCGTGCTTACTTGTCTGGTGTTTGGCTGGTCAGCCAGGCTGTTTCTGGTGGTGGGTCGCTGCCCCACATATCCATCACAGCCTGGTTGATCTGGCACCTGGTGAAGACACTTGTCCAGTTTTCTCTTGAAGACTTCTGCATTTTTTCCAGCAGTGTTTCTGATATCTTCTGGTAAGATATTGAATAATCTGGGGCCACGAATGTTGATACAGTGTTCCCTTATTGTGCCCACTGCACCCCTGCTCCTCACTGGGTTTATTTTGCACTTCTTTCTATATCTCTCACTCCAGTATGGAAATGAAATCTGGTAATTACGTCAAACATTAACCAGGAGACACCTGCACGTGTTACCAGGTGCTTGAACCTTCCCCTAGTTACTCTACACCAGACTCTTGACTACTCATGTGGTTGTGACATCACTTGCTTGGCAACCACACAGCCATCTAGGCTCCTGACTAGTCACCTGTTCATGACATCACCACTTGCTTGACGGCCACACAAGCATCTAGGCTTCTGATTGGCCACGTGGGCATGACGTCGCCACTTGTTTGACGGCCACACAACCATCAAGGCTTCTGATTGGCCATGTGGGCATGATGTCTCCATTTGCTTGACGGCCACACAACCATCTAGGCTTCTGATTGGCCATGTGGGCATGATGTCTCCATTTGCTTGACGGCCACACAACCATCTAGGCTTCTGATTGGCCACGTGGTCATGACGTCACCACTTGCTTGATGGCCACAACCATCCAAGCTCCTGATTGGTCATGTGGGCATGATGTCTCCACTTGCTTGACGGCCACTCAACCATCCGGGCTTCTGATTGGTTACCTGGTAATGACGTCGCCACCCGGACCTAACAAACGGACTGATTGGCTTCCCATGTGACGTCATTAACAAAACCCACCAACAGCGGTCGTAGTCTTTAGCCGCTGGCAATGTTGCTTAACCCAGCCTATTTGATGCCAAAAGCGTACAGCTGCTCCGTACCTGGCGTATATCTTGCATCTGTCCAGTTGCGTACAGCTGACTGAGGAGGGTGGAGCTGATGTTCCCGATTGCAAAGGTTGGACATTATGACAAAAAGTTGTTCCTGTATTGTGACCGACAGTATAGCATCAAGGACATCCTCGCAGATGTAACACCACTCTGTTTATACAGAGTATAAATATTTGCAAACACATATATGCTGGCAACATTCTGGTTTAAGCATTATTATACCAGATGGAACGTTGTCTGCAACGTTCTATGTAAAAGAAATAAGAAGTGGATTGGTAGCAACAAGAGTGTTTCCAGTACGGGAAAAGTAAACGTGAAACTAGTTTAAGTTGATGCATAGGTTTTTCTTGGTAAATTCGAAGGTAAAACTGATAATAAGTAAAAGATAGCTTACAAAAAAGTGTTAGTGATATTAAAAGAAAAGAAATGAAATTGTTTATTTTAAATGTGTTTGAATGAGGTGTTATCGTACCTCAGGTGGCAGCTGTGGTCAGGTTGATGTTGTCAGCCTCAGTCAGTGTTGCAAGACGCAGTGGCTGGCACGCCCCTCTGCACTCCACCTCCCTTAATACACGTTTCACACAACACTGTACTGCTTGTCATGGATCAAATACACATAGTTTTGCAGTACTCGGTGTGGGGGAGGTGAAGTCTAGCAGCCACGGCACCGTCTACAACTTGCAGTCACAAGGGAGTGTAAGTGTGAGAGGTGTTCCCAAGGTGGTCAGCTGGCGCCTGGGTTTTCCAGAAATATTATTGTCAGTATTAATGTGATGCTGCAGTAAAACATGTAAATCAAAATTAAGAAATAATTTATAAATAATTGTGTACTAGTAGTGTGCCAATGCGACAGTTTTCTTTTATTGTAGGTGGTGTTGCTTGGGAGAGGTGAGAGTATCCAGCAGTTTCAGTGTGGCAGCCAGGTATGGCGTGTCCTCTGTCCTGTTACTGCGGCCTCATGTGTCGCTGTGGATGCATCCCCTCGCCAGAAGTGCCCTCTATGACATCTGGGGGGTCGCTGGCCAGAGACACACACCGCAGTCATACTGTCTACATTCTCCTGTTAGGGGCAGCAGAGACTGGCAAGTCCACTATTATGCGACAAATGAAAATTATTGACAGTGGCGGTATGTCCCCAGCCTCTCTACGGTCCTACACTCGGCACGTGCTGGATAATGTTCTCACATGCGTTACACGACTAATAGCAGCTGTACATGAAGCTGCCGTGCCTTGGGGCACACCTGAAGCTGCGCATGCCGCCCATACACTAGCAGTAGTAACGCCCACAGACTGGGGCTTGTTAGATGATGATGTAAAACCAGCACTGCTGCCCCAGGATCATGCACACCTCATGCGAGTCCTGTGGGAGGACACGGCAGCCCAGGAGTGCTGGCTACGCGCCAACGAGTTTAATTTGCCAGACAGCACAGCCTACTACCTGTCAGCTACTGAGCGACTGGCGCAGCAGCCATACTTGCCCACACAAGAGGATGTACTCCAGCTCCGCATCCCCACCCGCGCAGCCACTGTCTATGACTTCCACGACAGAAACTGGACCTTTAGGATAACAGACGTCGGCGGCCAACGCGGGGAGAGGCGGAGATGGTTGCGCCTATTTGATGAAGTCAACGCAATAATTTTCCTGGCGGCTTTGAGCGAATATGATCAGACGTGGAGTCAGGAGGAAGAAGATGGCATGAATAGACTTGAACTGTCATTACAGCTCTTCCGCGAGACGCTCAACTACCCTGGCTTCTCCAAGACCAGCATGATCTTGTTCCTAAACAAGACTGATGTGCTTCAGAAGAAGATAAATAGGTCGGACCTGAGCAAGTACTTCCCAGATTACACTGGTCCCAGAGGAGACGCGCGTAGTGCTACAGATTACATTCGCAATCGCTTTGTGACCTTTGCCAAGACTAGAGACAATTTCTTCTCCCACGAGACCTGTGCTACAGACACCAACAAGACCAGGTTTGTCTTTGCTGCCGTAAGAGAGAGTATTTTGTGGGACAATATCAGACTTTTCATGGACCCGTTCCAAACTTGACGTTTGATGGTCCTGAGACAGCGAACTAGTCTAAGCAAATACCATCATGGATCTAACTGGTTTTTATGCAATGGTTGCTACCCATTGCCTTATAGGACCTCGATACTAGAGTCACAAAAGGTTAAAGTACAAGTTAATTTATATGGTGATGTGAGTGATGTCTAGCTTGTAGTGAGACATGAAGGTTAGTGAAAAATATCAAGAATGACTTCATAGCGAGAAGTGATGGCTGTCGTACAAAAAAAAATCATGTAAATTGTTGTAATAAGTGAAGCAGTGTTTAAAATGGAATATCCAGGTATATGTAGAAAGTAGTAGTTGTGAAGTTCCCTTGAGATGTTATATTCATGAGTAATGTTGGTTTTACAAAAATATTTGAAGTTTTGTACATTACCTCACTGATTTCACTATAAAACGAATTAGCTGTTAAATATTTCCTTTATTTCGTATGTTCTGAATGGTTACACTTACCATTTATTTTGTATTATCAATGATAAATATGGTGCCTTTTGTATGTAACTCTTTTATACACAAAATCCAGATACTCATTGTATCTGAAAATTACTGTGACAGACAGATTTTGTCTTACTATGTCAGCAGCTCATGACCACCATTATTCCAGGTCATTGATATGTTGGAGATTATCTGCAGCCATATATACGTTTTCTCTAATTGTTTAATTAAGCCTTTTAATGTCTTTCGTGCTCTAAATAGGCCTAGGCGGTAAAACAAGCCGTATAGCACTCTTTCATGTTTTATACATTAATATATCTATCTCGGTATTCACACTATATATTTTCACGAAAACTGACATATCAACTTCACCTAAAATTAATATATAATTTTAATCCTCCTCAGCCTAAATTTAGTATTTAACATCAATGAAATATTTTAATTTCGCGATGAATTTATTCTGGCAAAATGATCTTTGTTTTTAAGCCATTGTTATATATTTTGTCTGGCGGAGAAGCCAATTATTTCAGTCTCGTAACTAACCATATTGGGAATTTTGATATATCGTAGGAATATTCCGATATTATTATTATAATCAAAAAAGAAGCACTAAGCCACAAGGACTATACAGAATATTCCGATAAAACAGGCTTGTAGCCGATTATAAAATTGAGGTATGTTATCCGGAGAGTGTAAATAGTTTTGAAAAGGTATTAAAGTGAGTGCCAGAGAGAGTATGCAAATGTCAATGGCCTGCTGGAGGTGAGAAATGTTACGGCACTAGAGGTATAAATGTCAAAGATTGTAACACTGGATCTAAATGTCTAGTTGATAAGACACGTGTGCAACGGTTAAGTAACTTATTCCGAAACGTTTCGCCTACACAGTAGGCTTCTTCAGCCGAGTACAGAGGTAGCAGAAACAGTAAAGGTGTAACGACGATGTAATCAATCACCCTGAAGGCTATATATTGTATACCATTATCATATTCATTAAATGTCTAGGTTTTGGGTGTGGGGAAGGAGAAGAGGGATGTTCTTATATCTTGAAAACTTGCTTGATACACTTCAGGCGAGGTACTGACAGGGAGAGCTTAATGGCTGCCTCCATAGTTTCCTTAAGGAATTATAACCTATGATAACCTAACAAAGCAACAAAATGTGATTTATTTTTCTTCCGGGTGTTCTAGGATGCAAATTACAGCAGTTGACTAACTCCTAAGTACTTACTTAATAGTAGATGAATTGGGACAGCAGATTTAAGGATTATAAAAAAAAGAAGCGCTAAACCACAAGGGAGCAGATTTAAGGAGACTTGGCAAAATGCTTTCACTGACTACAGGTTTACCAAGGTCTGTGGGGACCAACACCGGTTTATGTAATATATACAGGTAAAGCTACAGTAGAATATTCATGTCATTTTTGTGATTAAGACCAGTGTCAGGGAACATTTATCCAGTTGCCTGACGAAAGATAACCTACTAGACAAACAAGCCAATTACACTATGACAATGACCTTATAATCAATTGAAACATAAATTATCATTAATATAGTTTTACTAAGCTCTGTCCTATTTCCGGTCTTATTTACAACTGACCTTGGTCAAGAAAAGTGCTAGTACTGGTTAGCAGATTTCCGAGTAGGCTGCTGACCTTCCTAAAGTTTGGTAGCATTAATCTAGCCGTCATTACTACAGTAGTAGGCTATTGCAGCTTTAGTGGAAGGCCTCGTTAGATGACCAAATGCTCCAGCTGTGGGTCATCACATGACTAAGACTCGGGTCAGGAAACACTTGTCCTGTTTCCTGACAAACCTTACCTAACCTACTGCAGCTGCTGGCTTCTACAAAATACTGACGACTCAGTGTACTCACCCTCACAGGACGTCCAGAATTGAGTGATCCCTTGAGGCTCAACCTTAGGACTTGTCCTGCCACAATCCAGTATCAGGCAGATGTTATTCTTATTCATGAGTTGTACTGCTGCACGAGACCTCATCATTATCATCTTCACGATGACTGCCTCGCCTGTGTGTTTTTTGCTTCTGCCCAGCTTTTGGATAGGCTTTATTTTTCCGTTTGTCAATATTGCCCAGTTTTTTGGTTGTTTGAAAGAAGTGGGTTAACACCTTCACTGTTTTCTGCTTTATATGCAGTGGGAAGATTCCACCTCAAAAAAAAAAAAAAAAAAAAAAAAAAAAGTTTTCAATGTTATAAGGCATTTTCAATTAGGGTGGCATACAATTACAGTTATTATACTTGTACAGTGCCACCCATTACTGACCTCTATAGTGCAAGTATCAAAGATACAGCAGTCATTAATACTACTGCAGGTGCTGTGCATGACCTCTACAGTTTTTGCTACTACAGTAGTGGAGAGGGTCACATTGACTATTGGGTTATCATAGGCTAAATTCTGCACAAAGTTAAAATTTAAAATTATGTAAGAGGCACAGATAAAAACTTACTGTATTTATCAATATTAGCAACAGTGCAGCATGTGATACCAGGAAGAGACGCTCTTTAGGTGATGATAAATTAGACACTAGAAACACTTGGGTATCATTGTGAAAATGTCTTGCCACACACTGGCTTGCTCAGTCTAATAGAGAGAAGAATGGTTGCAGATCAGTAGTAGTTTGAAGTAATCAGTCCCTCAGCCTGGAGTTAATATAATCAGTCCATCAATCCTGATAAGATTGATGAACTGATTGCATCAGCTCCAGGCTGAGGGACTGATTGCCTCAAACTCCTGATCATCAATCATTCTTCTCTATATTGGACTGAGGAAGCCAGTGTGTGGCAAAATGCTTTCATAATAAAGATACCTAAGTGTTGCACATGTGTCTAATTTACCAACCTGTCAGTTCTCTCAACCATTTATCTGCACGATAGATGATCTACCCAGAGTCAATTTCGAGTCATTGCCCCCGCGACCAGTTCCCTACCAAGCCTCGTTCATTTTAAATGATATCAAATGATGGTAATGTTAGATGAACACATACTAGTTCATGACTTGATGAAGATAATGTTAGTAGATAACACTGACAGTGTTAGATAAAACTAGTTGATAATTTAGATGATGTTAGTTGATGTCACAGCTAAGTTAGAGCAGTGTTAGCAAATGAGGCTATTAGTTATGGCTGCTAGTGGATGGTACTAGTTCATGGCTGACCTGAAGGCATAATCTTACAAGTTTATTAATAATTTAGCACAAATAACAGCAATCATAATAGATATCTATCAGATAACTTATTATTCATATATTCTCATCTTTGATAACTTTTTTGATACAAGGCAGCTGATACCACACGATATTCTTTTGTTTTAATTATATATTTCAGTTCCTCATTTACAATATGGTTGATTTTTTACGAACCATCGAATTTACGAATTTTACCTACAAGGCTGTTTTTATTGTAATTCTTATTTTTCTCTTTATTTTGGGAAGTTTCTCTAATAACAATAATATAGAATAATTAGTAGTAGTAATAATAATAAGTTACATGGTGTTGCTCTTTGATTTTAAGTAGATTTTTGAGTAGTAACAAATTGTATGGAGAAGTGCCAAACCCAGAAGGGTTATACAAAGCTTAGACAATGGTTTAACCCTTAAACTGTCCAAACATAGATCTACATTTTTTCAACATTTGAAAGTATGTAAAAAAAGTAGATCTTTTCTTTTTTTTACATTTGAAAACATGTAAAAAAAACTTTGATCTACGTTTTTTTGTTATATTTGAAAATATGTAAAAAAAACGTAGATCTACTTTTGGAGCACTACGAATGTGAACATAGATCTGCTTGGACAGTTTAAGGGTTAAATAATCAAGAATTTGCCCTCTCCAGAGGACAAAAATCAAGTATGAAACAAATATTACGAACAATCACTTTTTAAATCATTGTACAAGTAGACACTTTATTTAAATGTAATAATAATATCTAAGCTCTAAACTTGAAAGGGTTATTTAAATGTAAATATTGTTAAATTTACATTTTTATTTTTCACTGTAAATAGCACTTAATGTACCGTATATTACTTACTATTACTACTATATTATCATTCACGGGGAGCTCTCAACCCGTATGGGTGATGAATGATATCCAGGCTTGATTCAAAGAACTAGAACAGGGTTCAGTTTCTTAGATCAAGAGCCCCTCAACAGCATCAAGGAACCTTCCTTGATGGAGGGTGTATAGTGTAAATATTGGTGAATACGTACATATATTTTATTAGTGCAATATTAATGGTTCAAATTGGTAGCTAACAACACTGTGATAAATTCCAGTAGAAATAAATGAGGGAGCGGTAAAGCTGTAGGAGTTATACAACACCTGGAGGGAATGGTAGACAAGCAGGTTCAATCCAAGGAGAGGGAGGATACATCCAGTTACTTGGGTCAAGAATGTCTAATAACAGAAAAAGTGTATACCAGTGGTAAATAACTGTGTAGCAGTGGTATTATACTGACAAGCATGTTAATAACAGTGTGTGCTTTATGGCATTTTATTGAGAAGAATTTTAGTCTTTAGACTTCACTGATTCTCAGAGCTCGCATGTTCCTGGTGGACAAAATGTATTCTCAATAAACTGTCATAAATCACAGTGTTATATTAAGAGGAAAATGTAGTATTTTGTAGCTTAAAACAATTTAGTGTTGCTAAGTTTCCCTTGTGTTAACTTAATAACAGATTGAAAGTGTAAGCTGAATTTTGAGCATGTCCAGTTATTAATATATTCATTAATGCTGCCTAATATGGCATAAGGTCCAGGCTGCCTAAGGTCCAGTTGAATTATAAAGGTTTTGTATTTCCAATTTGCCCTATAATGTCTAATCTATCCTATATGATAAGGTTTACCCTTTAAAGCCTAGGGCCCTAAGAAGCCTAGTCCCTCCCATGCAGCTATGGCGCCCTTGTATATAGTCCCTTATGATATTCGTAGGAAGCACTAACCTGTAGGGGGTCATACAATGCCTGGAGAAATAGGTAGCAATCAGGTTTAGGCCAAGAAAATGAAGGTCAGGTTCAGTTGCTTGGATCAAGAGTTCTTCACCAGTATCAAGACACATCACCCATTTCTTTATGGGACAGGCTTGTTAATGGGGTTTAAAGCCTATCAACTACACTAGGGACATTAAGGCTACATGTAACCTTTTCACCACCAGACAAGAATTCTTCAATCCCTAAAACTGGGATTAAACTCAGCATATATATGCTGAGAGAAATATACATACCTCTGTGTATATATATTCTGTGCCCTCCATGAACAGATAATGATATAATTCATTTACAGCTAGCCTAATAGTCACAACAAGAGGGACTATCACTGAAGGAAAAGTCCCTCGCTATACATAAATCTTTTAAACCTTCAGATTCTTCAAAAAGCGAGTCTTGAAGGCCACTGTACATACTTATGGTTACCATGTAAATAGATCTTAGGGTTTTGGGGATTAATGGTAACGAAATTAAATTTTCCATGTATAACTTTGTGTAATTATTATAAGAAGGCTTCACACGAGTGTACTGTGAAGCTTCAATTACATGGAAAGAAACTACGGCCCTTGGCGCCCCCATATACTCACCTTAATTTACCTTGCATAGAGAGCGAGTGTGAGTGTACTCACCTCTATGTGGTTGTAGGGGTCGAGTTACAACTCCTGGCCCCACCTCTTTGCTGGTGTGTGTGTGCACACACATGTGCGTTTTTTGTTTTTCTGGTTAGAATGTATCAGCTAAAAAAAATTATTGTAGCTGACTGTTAATAAATCTGTAGGATAATATATTATTAATAACAAATATAATATATATATTTTTTTAATTGGGGAAAATGTTGAATCCACAGAGATCCAGAGAGCCTGAGGAACAATGGGCAATCAGGTTTGTTCAAGGAAAGGGATAACTCCAGTTCCTTGAATCAAGAGCTCCTCACTGATGTTGAGGTAATGATTTTGAAATTAGATAGCAACAGGTTCTGATGTTAGACGGTGAGAGATTTTGAAGTTAGCAACAAGTTTTGATGTTAGATGGTGAGAGATTTTGAAGTTAGCAACAGGTTTTGATGTTAGATGGTGAGAGATTTTGAAGTTAGCAACAGGTTTTGATGTTAGATGGTGAGAGATTTTGAAGTTAGCAACAGGTTTTGATGTTAGATGGTGAGAGATTTTGAAGTTAGCAACAGGTTTTGATGTTAGATGGTGAGAGATTTTGAAGTTAGCAACAGGTTTTGATGTTAGATGGTGAGAGATTTTGAAGTTAGCAACAGGTTTGATGTTAGATGGTGAGAGATTTTGAAGTTAGCAACAGGTTTTGATGTTAGATGGTGAGAGATTTTGAAGTTAGCAACAGGTTTTTATGTTAGATGGTGAGAGATTTTGAAACTGGACAGTCACAAGTTTTGAAGTTAGGCGAGAGATTCTGAAGGTACTGTAGATAGTAACTAACTGTTTTGAAGTTAGATGGTGAGATTTTAAAGTTGGCTGGTGAAAGATTTTGAAAGTAATGAAAAATATTAAATATTTCCACATAACTGCCTTTGTAACTTACTCTGCTGTGAAAATTACAGTATCTATGCATTTTTTAAATGTCCTTACCACTGAAAATAGTGTCCAGAAAACATGCAACACAGTGAACCAAAATCATAAAACATTGTGGTTAATACTTTAGAAAAATTAGTGTCTGGAAACTATGCAACACAATTTACCACAATTATGAGATGAGACATTGTGGTTTATATTTTAGCAAAATGTAAGTTTGATTATAAACTACTAAGTGTTGTGATTTGTTGAAGTAAATGCAAATTTAAAAGATTTGTTTTAATATGCTTATCCTCATGTGTGTTTGGTTGTCCAAAGGTCACTTCACATAATGCTTAGTATAAATTGTTTCAATCAGGTGAGGAAGTGCTAAACCTGTAGGGATGATAAATGGCAAGCCATCAGGATTGATCCAAGGGAGGATAATTCCAGTTCTTTGGATCAAGAGCTCTTCACCAGCATCAAGGTGCCTCCTTTGAGGAGTTCATGCTTATAATGACTATGTGCTATTGCATAAGAAACATTGCAATTGTTAAACAACAGTTTATTACAGCAACAGAAAATACATTTCCTAACTTGTGCATGTGAAATTTTATTTGTTGTAGTGCATGTCTGCATGAGAAATAAATGAAATTATATAAATGGACTGTTACTAAGAGTGTTAATAACTAGAGCGCAATTTTAATATGAAATATACAATTCTGTTAGAATACAACTATCAACAGGATATGAAATACTAAGAATTTATAGGTCTCCAAAAGCTAGTTAAACTTTGTAAACAATACTAGACTTAATGAAGCACAAGGCTGAAAACTCGCTGTGACCATAGTTTTCCCGGGAGATAATGACACACTCATTTGTGTACCACAAGGAAAGTACAGTGGATCCCTGCCTTACGATATTAATCCATTCCTGAGAGCTCATCATACGCTGAGATTATCTTTAGCCGAATTAATTTTCCCCATGAGAAATAATGGAAATCAAATTAATCCGTTCCTGACACCCCAAAGTATGAAAAAAAAATTTTTTACCACATGAAATATTACTTTTAATACACACAAACTGAAGAAGACATGCACAATTACTACTCTACTAAGAATAGAATACATGACACGTACCTTTATTGAAGATCTGGTGATGATTGATGGGAGGGGGAGTGTGAGGAAAGTTATTGTTTAGAAGGGGAATCCCTTTCCATTAAAACTTGAGGTAGCAAATTCTTTTCCGGGGTTACTTCCCTTCTTTTAATGCCACTAGGACCAGCTTGAGAGTCACTGGACCTCTGTCACACAACAAATCTGTCCATAGAGCTCTGTATCTCCTGTTCCTTTAAGTCTTTCCTAAAATGGGCCATAACATTGTCATTGTACAGGTTGCCAACAAGGCTTGCAGTAGCTGTGTCAGGGTGATTTTCATCCATAAAGGTTTGCAGTTCAACCCACTTTGCACACATTTCCTTAATCTCTTTTTTCAATTCCATACTAATTCTCGCCCCTTTTTACCACAGGGATGGCACTAGAAGCTTTCTTGGGGTCCATGGTGACTTATTTTGCAGTTACAAGAACTAAAAACACTGGGATAATGTGAAATGTACCGAATGTATCCGTAGATGCGACCGCACTGGCTGGCTTGTAAACACTGGCGCTGAGGCCACAAGTGGGATGCGTCCCGGACGAATCACGTAAGGCGAGCTTTTTACCGTGAGGCGAGGCAAAATTTTTGCGTTCAAATGCTTCGTATGACGGATTTAACGTAACCCGATGCGTTCATAAGGCGGGGGTCCACTGTATTATGTAAGTTGTTTTAAGTGAGTTGAGGTGAGGAAATACAATTATATAAATAAGAGGTTTGAATATATAACCACTGCTTGAAACTACTACTACTTCTATGCTCCTGTATACTTGTTTGTGCATAATAATTGCAGATCTTCACTATGTACTCACCGAGTTGTGTATGCAGAGGTCGAGACTGCTCCTGGCTTAACTTCTTGAGGTGCTTGGCCAACTTCTACTGGACTCTAGCCTTCTGGGCCAGAGTACCTATTTTTGATACTGTGAATGGAGGAAGCCACCACTGCCTCATTTAAGTCATTCTGCTTTTCAACCACCCTGAGACTAAAGAAATGCTTTCTAACATCCCTTTGGTTGATCTGTGTATATAAGGCTGCATGTTTACACATTTCTGTGTAAGCACACATGCAGTAATGTACAAGTGTATGTACGGGTGTGCCTTACATTCACACAAGTCCATTTGTTAACTACACCCACAAAAAAATATTAAAGTGAGGAAGAGCCAGATCTGAATGTGGGGAAGGTGCACGAGGTAGTGGGTTGAATGAAAGAGGGTAACAGTTGGGATTGATGAGATCAAATCATGGCCATATGTTAAAAGCAAGTGGGAATTTAGTTTTTGAGCGGTTGGTGCATCTGTTCAATAAATGCGTGAAAGGGGGAAGGTACATAGGATTAGCAGTATGTGTGTGTGTGCGCATAATTCCTTCGTACAAAGTAAAAGGGGATAAGCCTGTTGAGTATACCAGTAAAAAGTACAGTAATTAGTGAAAGAATTGTGGATAAAACAGAGAGCAAGATTGCAGTTGAACAAGATTTTAGGAACGGAAGGGGATGTGTAGACAGAGTGCTTACATTGAAGTTTATAAGTAAGATAAAGATAAATAAGTTTTTACTGCATTCATGGATTTAGAAAAGGCATATGATAAGGTCGACAGGGGAACAATGTGGCAGATGTTGCAAATGTGTGGAATAGGTGGTAGGTTACTTAAAGCAGTTAAGAGATTTTACGAGGATAGTGAGGCTCAGATTAGGTTATGTAGGAGACAGGGAGATTATTTTCCAGTAAAAGTAGGCCTTAGACAAGGGTGCGTGATATCACCATGGTCTTTTAATGCATAGGTTGAGTTGTAAAAGAAGTGAATGCTAGGGTGTTGGGAGGAGGTGTGAGATTAAAAGATAAAGAATCTAATACAAAATGGGAGCTGTCAAAGACTTTTTTGCCAATGACACTGTGCTTTTGTAAGATTCTGAAGAGAAGTTGCAAATGCTGGTAGATGAATTTGGGAGGGTATGTAAAATAAGGGAGTCAGAAGTGAATTTAGGAAAGAGCAAGGCAATGAGAGTAACCAAAAATTCAGATAATAAAAGACTGGATATCAGATTGGAAGGAGGGAGTATGGAGGAAGTAAATGTATTCATTTATCTGGGAGTGAACTTGTCAACACACAGCTCTATGAAAGATGAAAGTAAACTACAGAATTGATGAGGGGAAAAAAAGGTGGGTTATGCATCTGAAGAGGAATGTGTATTACACAAGTGGTACCAACACTTAATATGGGTGTGAGGCATGAGTTTTAAATATTGCAGCAAGCAGGAGGCTGGAGGCAAAAGAGATGTCATGTCTGAGAGCAATGTGTGTTGTGAATATTTTGCAGAGAATTCGTTGTTTGGAGATTAGGAGGCAAAGGGTTATTAAAAATATTACCTAGAGGGCTGAGGAGAGGTTACTGAGGTGGTTTGGATATTGAAAGAGGATAGAGCAAAAGACGTTGACTTGGAGGTGTATAAATCTGTAGTGGAGATGAGGCATGGTAGGGGTCACCCTGGAAAGGTTGGAGGGGGTAAAGAAGGTTTTGTAAGCAAGGGGCTTGGACATCCAACAGGCATGTATGTGTGTGTGTGTTTGATAGGAATGAGTGGAGGCAAGTGGTTCTGATGACTTTATATGCTGTTGGAGTGTGAGGAAGGTAACATTTATGAAGGGATTCAGGAACTCTGGTTAGTCAGACTTTAGGCCTGGAGATGGAGAGTACAGTGCCTGCACTTGGAAGGGTGGGGATAATGCAGTTTGGAGGGACATCTGGGCTGTAATTTCAGTATGCCTCTGGCAAGATGGTGGAGTGAATGATGATAAAAGTGTTTTTCTTCTTCAAGTCACCCTATCTTTGTGGGAGACTTGACACAAATATCCCACACACATTGGAGAACAAAACTATCAACGTTTTGGCCAGATCTGGATCATTAACTAGTTAAACGTGTCACTAGCTAATGGTCCAAGTTGGACATAAACACCATCAAGGTTTCATTCTCCTATGTGTGGGTTATTTGTGAATTGTTCTAGTCATGGTATTATGCCTTTATATTCTTGGTGGGAGACGACAGCTGGTGTGTTAAAAAAATGAAAATAGGTATTTACAGTCTTGCAAATGAACTTTTTTATTTAATACATTTTAACAAGACTGGATGTGAGAAGTACAATGCCTGCACTCTGAGGAACAAGTTTGTAATCTGAATTGTGATTTCCACTAGAGAATGAGTGATGGTGAATCTGTTTTCTTCTTTAGGATATCCTATTCTGGTGAGAAATTAATTCATTAAAACAATTGTCACATGTATGATACTTTTTTCAGTGGGGAGAGAGGAATGAGAGGTAATACACTATTCCAGGGCTCCAATTCAATACTGTAATGCTGATTTTTACAGAGGTATTTACTGTAGTTTTGTAGCGAAAAATAAAAATTGTGCCTCTGTAAGAGATTGATTAGCACTTGAGTAGACACAGTAGTGGAATGAGTGTGCACTTTAAAGTGTTTTAACTGCATGTAAAAATAGATGGAAATGAATATTGTTAAAAAAAGGGCCCATTTAAGGCCATATTTCCGAGACCACATTAACATCAGTTATCAGAAATATCACAACCAAGTAAGTTAAAATATTCACATGGTTATAAATCCTTAATAAATTGGCCAAGTTGCTTTATTGATTTATTTATGCATTACATTTTACATAACATGATAGAATTTTACAAGTATAGAGCGATAACTATCACAATGGCCGGCAACAGACCAAATGGCGGTATTAATCTTTAACTGAAAAAAATTACACCGGAGTGAGCTGAGGAAACCAAGGGGAGAACATTTAAATTAGTACCTTCCTACAGACAATCTGAATTGGTATTAAAAAGGTTGTGGGTTATGGCTCGGGAGCACCATCTTCTGATCCACAGAGCAAGGAAGGATGTCCCTTAATACCTGAGGTGAATAGCCTCAAGAGAACTTTTGAGTTTTCTTCTAACCACTTATTTTATGCCCTAGCTTTAAAGCAGCCATGTCAAGAATTAAGAACCAACTGCACAGTAAGCACTGAAATGTGAAGAATACTGTTAATAGACTGTGTGTATGTTTTAATCTTAACACAAGTGTCTTTCCCCAACTTTTCAATTACACATAAGAAATTCAGAATTTCATGTCCCTTGTACCATACACTTTGAGTGTCAATACAATAAGCTCTGGCTGCTGAGGGCAGGCATAAAATGGCCAGTTCAATACTTTCAAATGTGAAGTGCACATTCATCCAGATGAATCATCAAGGCATAATTAGGAACATAATATATCAGGATGAAGTGGCAGAACTTTGACTTACTCTTCATTGCTTTCTCACTACCTTGTATTTCCAAAATGCTGTGAATAGAAGATTTGAGCCTCGAGCAATTCAAGAAAAGGAAAAAGTCATTTAGTATCTTCATGACAAAGAAAAAACTACAGACTTTTAAAATGAAAATGTTGAAACAAGACTGAGCCTGATTTGGTCCTACTGCTTTTCACATCATCAGACTGTCAAGAACAGGACACCAATAGAAGATCCACCGCCACTATCTCCCCAGCTCTGTGTGACTATGTTAGCGAATTACATGTTGGAGGAGTTGGCGTTGATCCAATCTCTTGCAATTTAATTTATAGCTGACCACCACAAAATCAATTCTAAAAATGCTTTCAGGAGGACAACCAAAAAATAAAAATAAATAAAAATAAAAAATTCAACACATACAAAACTAGGTAATATCTCATATGTCTAAAAAAATGACATTAAAATACATACAATATACTCAAGATAAGCTGTGGTGATCTGTAGACTATTAATGTGGGTTGCCGTTCGTACCACGTCGGGAACGGTGTCTGTATTCTGCATAAATACACGGCACTTGTAGCAGAAGAGAAATATCAGTAAACAATGTACATGAATGAAGGTGGGAGCTATGTAATGCTTGTGTATATAGCCTATTTCCACAGGAATGAATTCATGGATTCCCTCTTGGATATTTTATTTCCACGTCAGAAAATAATATAAGCTGTGAATTTCTTCATTTTAAATTCTGTAGCACCAAACTTATGAAGATTCAGTAACTAACAATTTTCCTTTTCAAAATTGTCTTAATTATGATATCATTTTTCAACAAACAATCCACAGAGGCCTCGACAAATTTAGTGATACGGATACTTCATTAAAAGAGTTCGGGTAATTTTTGACAACTAGCGTATCTCCCATGTTATCTGTGGTCACAATTTGGCTGCTGTGCTAAAAGGCAACTTCCAGAGAACAGTTTTTATCTGCAATTTAACACGTACTGTTCCTGAAAGTCACATTAATGTATTAGCTCACTTTCATAAAAGTGGTACTGTACTATATATATCACACCTGGCTACCGGCCGCTGCTGTCTCCCACAACCAACACCTGTGGGCCGGAACCCGAGTTCACACTCACGACTACACAATATCACATCACATCGGTTGGTGGCTCACAACGCTCACTTCTGCCACTCTACCCGTTGTCGCCACTTTAGTGTGGAAGCAACACGACTGCTGCCCTCCGCTGGGCCTGAACCACCCGCAATGGTCGACAATGCAGAAGTGGAGCACTGCACTCACTGTTTGTGTTCCTACCACTGGAGTCATTCTCTCCAAAATGTACATATCACCATCACACTGGGTACCACACGTGGTTGCCTTTCTAGTTACAGTAACTGGTACGTATATTCTTGACTGTGACATAATCTAGTCACAACTTTGGCTTGATAGAATATAACTCTGTATATTTAAAAAAAAAAAATCATTATGGAATATTTCCAGTTGCACACTGGCACCACTTCCTCAACTGTTTTTGCTCTGTACACAGCAAAGCACAATAACAGCAGGTGGTTGTGGCAGCAAGTAGGAACACAGGAGTTTCTAGTGCTGTGTTGAGCCTCTGCCCCAGTGTCCTCAAGCACCCAATCCGCTTCATCACCACCCTGCCCTAAGCCACCATAATGCCACACCTCATATGGGTATTGTCTCTCTTAAATATAACAATTGTTCATGTGTAATGTGTTGGAAAATAGTATAAAAAATATGAATTACTGCATGCAGTACATTCATTAAAACTTATTTTCTTCCTAATTTGCAAATTATTACTACCCAATTCAAATGTTAAAAATTATAAATTAAAGACATATTCATTGTCCATAAAAATCCTACTGCAGATCTATTTCTTAAATTTACTGTCATGGCTACTAAAAGCTGAGGTAACTGGCACATGAAATTTCCAACTGTGAAGAGACCTGACTAATTGCATCATGGATCACTGCTGACAAACTTAAGCCCTGTGGTCAATATGGCCATAGTGGTGCTGGTGGCAGTCGTGGGCAACGGGCGGCAGCAGGCAGATGGTGACGATCGAAGGGGATTGGGTGATGCAGGGTGGAGCTAGGTAGGGGGTGTCGGGGCTGGACATGCCCCCTACTGCGGGTGGCGTGTCATTATGAACTGGTGGAAGAGTGTATGTTGCCAAGGCCCAAAAGACCAGTAGTGAAGGGTTGTTGGTATCCCACCTGCTGTTGGGCAGCTGCTGCCTGCGCTACAGCAGACGCTGCCGCTGCTGCTTGTTGCTGACTATTGGCTGACTGCCTACCACTCTTTGGAAGTGGCGGTGAAAGATAAGGATTGGAAGACAGCGTCAACACATCATTGCGGTCCTCCTTACGGTATGCCAAACAACACCGAATGAATTGCTGAAAGTGAAGGTAATAAAGTTAGAATATATCTCATGATATATTTAAACATTACTGATTTATTTATCGTAATAATACTTTTATCTTGAGCTCTTAAGTTTACAAAATAGGATAAAAAATAAGCTCACCTTGGCTTCATTGCTGACCACTGGTTTGGGTGGAAACTGTACATCTGTTGCTTTAAGGATAGTATTTTCCTCTAATATAGTAGCCTGACTTTGGTTGTGGCCGAACGGCTTTTTCCCGTATAGGCACTGATAGAATATTACACCCACAGACCACACATCTACTTTACTAGATATCTTGGGTGGCGTCTTCCCCACAATGAAGCACTCTGGTGGTAGGTACCTGCAAAGAAAATTTTAATGCGATTCTTTAACAATAGCAACAACATACCAAAAACACTTAACAACAATTGAGTATCACAACTAGTAACTAAGTATACAATACATAATGGGATAACATCTAAAATGAGGTTAAAGAGGAAGTAGTGTGTGTGCTACAAATTTTGGAAGCTTTACCAACGCATTTCTTTCTTTCTTTCAACATACCAGCCGTATCCCACCGAGGTGGGGTGGCCCAAAAGAAAAAAAAAAAGTTTCTCTTTTTAAATTTAGTAATATATACAGGAGAAGGGGTTACTAGCCCCTTGCTCCCGGCATTTTAGTCGCCTCTTACAACACGCATGGCTTACGGAGGAAGAATTCTGTTCCACTTCCCCATGGAGGAGCAATGCATTTATACAATAAATATTTAAGCTCTTTTCTTAATAGTTAAAACCTGGTAAATAAAAATAGGTAAATACAGAAAAGATGATAAATAAGTTGCATCAAGAGTGATACTGACCAGTATGTGCCAGCCCCCTGAGAGGTGAGGTCCATTCCATAGTCAGGATGGTAGCTGTCCTCGTCCATTACTTTACTGAGACCAAAATCTGTGATCTTCACTTCCCCGAGAATATTACCATCAGTCAACAAGATGTTTCCTGTGATAAAAAGCATTTTAGGGATATACAAATTTACCAAATTTATGCTGATACATGAGCCATAATTATAGGAATATTTGATGAAACAATATGCAAGTGGGTTATATATATAGGAAGAGATGCCATGATTTAGATGAAGCAGATAGTAGGGAAGTGTAGATAGCAGAGAAGTGTACCAGGGTTATGCAAGGATAGTCTGGCCTACAAGGATTCACCCCCTGCCACCATCTTAGGAAATAGAAAACGAGTAGAGGATACAATTAAACAAATGGATGCTGTATATTGATATACACTATCTGTTAATGCTTCTGAGAGTTCATTGCTTCCACAGTATAGATTCAAACCAGGGCTTATAAACTGGAAAGCAAGTATTACAAGAATAAAAACTATTAAGAACAGAAAGTACAGTAATCCTAAGTGTATACTAAATGTAGGTGGAAATCTACAAGAATTACCTGATCATAAAAAAAAGCAAGAAATTAACAAGAATCTTACTCACTTCTTTCAGGATACTTAAACAAGTGAGCAGGCTACTGTTTCACACTTGTATGAGTACACGGTAATGCCTCCATGGATGGTTACTATCCACCAACCTACTACCTGCTTTAATGAATAATTCTCTTCATAATTTTTGCATCTAATATATAGGGTGAAGCCAACAGAATCTTTCCAAATATCTTTGTTTCCTTCAAAACAAACTCTATGACCAGCACAAAACACTGTAATTACAAACACTGCAAGTTATTGTGGTGATGTCAATAAAAAATATGCTTCCGGTTTTAACTCTAATGCGTTTTTTTTTTTTTTGCTTACACAAATTTTACAGGCTAAAAGCTGTTATCCTAACATGGCTCATTTAAAAGCCCAACCCCATTTAAGGGATATTATCACCCCCAGGATGCGACCCACAACAGTCGACTAACACCAGGAAGGGGGGAGCACCAAACCCATAGGAGGGGTCATAGCACAAGGAGAATTGGAGTCAATCAGATCTGATCCAAGGAAGGGGAGAATAGGTTCACTTCCTTTGATAAAGAGCCCATCACCAGCCTCAGCACACCTCCCTTAAGGATGCTCTCCCTGCAGAATATTAGTACTGAATCAAACCATTCCCCCGGCTGGGAGTGAACCCGCGGGTTCAATCCCGGCCGGGGGTATGGTTTGTTTGCAATCGTGTCATTACGATATGACCGCGGGTTCAATCCCGGCCGGGGGTATGGTTTGTTTGCAATCGTGTCATTACGATTTTTTGAGTCATTAGTACTGAATACTTCTGAGAGAGCACTTAAGACTCTTTCTGAAGAGTGATACCTGGTCTATCTGTGACAACCACACAGCACTTGAGGTATCCCTTGAGGATAACTAACGTCACGGATTAAAGAGGGCTACCTCAGAGGGCAAACTGCACGAGACACTATAATAAAAAAGATTACTGCAGGGTGAACACAGCAGTAACTAGAATAGAGGTTACCTCAGGGTGAACACAGCAGTAACTAGAATAGAGGTTACCTCAGGGTGAACACAGCAGTAACTAGAATAGAGGTTACCTCAGGGTGAACACAGCAGTAACTAGAATAGAGGTTACCTCAGGTGACACAGCAGTAACTGAATAGTGTTACCTCAGGGAACACGGAGTAATAAATAGAGTTACTCAGTGAACACAGCAGTCTGAAAGAGTACCTAGGGTGAACACAACTAGAACAAAATAGGTACCTCAGGTAACACGCATAACTAGAATAACGGTTACTTCAGGATGACAACATCATAAACGAGGAGTAAACACTCAATACTGGGAGCGCTTGAGGTTCCTAAACCTGTATTCCCTGAATGCAGGCGGAGAGATACTGATATTCACTGGAAATCGAGGGACTATACGACTTGCACCGAAAATCACTATACGAAGCGAAAGACTTGCAGACGATGACATCCCCATGAAGCAGGGTGTCACTAGCATGTAGAGACTACAAAGGTCAGGGCCTGAACTGTTCCTGCCTCCAGCACTAAGGGGATTACCACAGACCTGCGTCTTCAAGCTGGCATGGACGGCCTAAAGTCGGTTCTGACCAGCCGGCTGTGGCCGATTTGGCGGCACAGTAACAGCCTGGTTGATCAGGCTCTGATCCACCAGGAGGCCTGGTCACAAACCGGGCCGCGGGGGCGTTGACCCCCGGAACTCTCTCCAGGTAAACTAGAGTACAGGTTACTTCAGGATGAACATAGGAGTAACTGGAATAGAGATTACCTCAGGGTGAATATAGCAGTAACTAAAACAGAGGTTACCTCAGGGTGAATATAAAAGTAACTAGAATAGAGGTTACCTCAGGGTAACACAGCAGTAACTAGAATAGAAGCTACCTCAGGGTGAACACTACTAACTAGAATAAAGATTACCTCAGGGTGAACACCACTAACTAGAATAAAGATACCTAGGTAACCTCAGTAACTAATAGTAACCCAGGTAAACAGATAATAAAAGGTTACTTCCAGGGTGAACATAGCTGTAACTAGAATAGAGGTTACCTCAGGGTGAACACAGCAGTAACTAGAATAAAGGTTACTTCCAGGGTGAACATAGCAGTAACTAGAACAGAGGTTACCTCAGGGTAACACAGCAGTAACTAGAACAGAGGTTACCTCAGGGTAACACAGCAGTGGGTAACTAGAATAGTCTGAGAGTTACTTTGAGAAAGTCACAGTAAGGAAGCATGATGCAAGGAGAGATTAAAAACAAAATTACAGAGAAAAAAAAAAGAAAGAAAGCAGATAAAGAAGGGTATGTGGTTGAGAGAGACCAGCATAACAGTTGCTACAGTCCCAAACCCCTCCTTTAGAGTGCAGGCATTGTACTTCCCATTTCCAGGACTCGAAGTCCGGCTATATAAAAATAACCGGTTTCCCCGAATCCCTTCACTAAATATTACCCTGCTCACGGTCCAACAGATTGTCAGATCCCAAATACCATTCGTCTCCATTCACTCCTATTAAACACGCTCACGCATGCCTGCTGGAAGTCCAAGCCCCTCGCCCACAAAACCTCCCTTACCCCTTCCTTCCAACCTTTTCGGGATGACCCCTACCCCGCCTTCCTTCCCCTACAGATTTAAATGCTCTCCATGTCATTCTACTTTGATCCATTCTCTCTAAATGACCAAACCACTTCAACAACCCCTCTTCTGCCCTCTGACTAATACTTTTATTAACTCCACACCTTCTCCTAATTTCCACACTCTGAATTTTCTGCATAATATTTACACCACACATTGCCCTTAGACAGGACATCTCCACTGCCTCCAACCGCCTTCTTGCTGCTGCATTCACAACCCAAGCTTCACACCCATATAAGAGTGTTGGCACTACTATACTTTCGTACATTCCCTTCTTTGCCTCCATAGATAATATTTTTTGTCTCCACATATACCTCAATGCACCACTCACCTTTTTTTCCCCATCAATTCTATGATTAACCTCATCCTTCATAAATCCAGCCGCCGACATGTCAACTCCCAAGTATCTGAAAACATTCACTTCTTCCATACTCCTCCTCAATTTGATATCCAATTTTTCTTTACCTAAATCAATTGATACCCTCATCACTTTACTCTTTTCTATGTTCACTTTCAACTTTCTACCTTTACACACACTCCCAAACTCATCCATTAACCTTTGCAATTTTTCTTTAGAATCTCCCATAAGCACAGTATCATCAGCAAAAAGCAACTGTGCCAATTCCCATTTTGTATTTGATTCCCCATAATTTAATCCCACCCCTCTCCCGAACACCCTAGCATTTACTTCTTTTACAACCCCATCTATAAATATATTAAACAACCATGGTGACATTACACATCCCTGTCTAAGACTTACTTTTACCGGGAAGTAGTCTCCCTCTCTTCTACACACCCTAACCTGAGCCTCACTATCCTCATAAAAACTCTTTACAGCATTTAGTATGTATAAAATTTATGATAAAGACAAATATAGTTAGGAAGGTTATAACCAAAAACGAATAGCAATTAGGAGCGCCTAATTTCCTCGATGATCACCGTAAACACATGAACGATGAACAGATTCATGACCAAATCTCCCAGAGACTTTTGTAATAGGGTGGGGATGGGGAAAGAACAGATTGGGGGGGGAGGGGAACACCTAAAAGTATATTACAAAATTACTTGCAGTTTACACCTATCCTACGTAAAATCCTTACCTGGCTTGAGGTCATAATGAATGATTGGCGGTTTGATCTCATTCAGGTACTTAAGTGCGGATACCACCTGCATAATTACCGATCTTGCTTCTCTCTCAGGTATGGTCTTGTGCTGAGGAGAAATTCTTAGTTAATTAAAGGATACCATATACAAAAAATATTTTTATTAAGAAAAAAAATTCTAAGAAATATTTCATTCAAACCTATCATTAGTAAACTTGCTTTCCAAGTACCATTTCGATAATCACCGCTTTGAAAACATTTTTGTGTTGATGTTAAAGTTGATAAATGGAATTAACTTGAAAGATATACACGCTGTCAATTTTGCCGTCGGGAGACGGCCGACTTGTTGAAAAAAAAAAAAAAAAAAAATTAATGAATTATAAAAAAATCCTTACACCAAGGATGTACAGCACATGTATTACTGTATATCAGATTAATGGACTGAAAACATCGATTCTAGGCAGAGGGACTTCCAGTTATTCTTTGTATTGGACTGAAGAAGCCACTGGTTGGTTGTTAGGTAAGACACATATGCAACAGTTAGGTATCTTTATTTCGAAACGTTTCGCCTACACAGTAGGCTTCTTCAGTTGAGTACAGAAAAGTTGATAGAAGCAGAAGATACTTGAAGACGATGTAATCAGTCCATCACCCTTGAAGTTTTGAGGTGGTCAGTCCCTCAGTCTGGAGAAGAGTATTGTTCCATAAGTTGGTAAAAGGTTTCCTCAGTGAAGATTCCCAAATATTGCACAAGTGTCTCATTCTGGTTTTCAAAACCATTTTCATCACAGTACTGTGTAATATTGTGCACTCATGTTTTGACTTCCAAGACAACCAAGTTTTCTTTTCCGTTTTTGTTATTTTGGTTCTGAGTTTTTCTGCAACATGACTGTCTGAACAGCTCTCCTTAAAGTACTGTATATCTACTGAACCTACCAGAGATCTGGAACTAGCTACTAGACTAACCAATATGCTTTAAGATGTCGTGTTTGTTAACCCTCAAGTAAATGAAAAGGCAGAAGGATAGTTTAAGGTCATCCATGTTGACAGCTCTATCTCTGGTCTATCTCAACAATTTGTGTTTTCAAGTGGAGCTTTCTGACTTAGCATTCTTTTTAGGGAATCACCTTGTCTCCTGAAGTGATGCCTTTGATTCCATGCTCGAAAAGGCTTTCTTAAGAGTGGAATGGGATTTCTGGGAATGAATTGGCCTAGATTAAAGTCCCAAGTCTCTTATAAAGGCCTTGCTAGCAGTTTCCTAGCTTTCTTCATGACAGGAATTGCAGAAATCTGAAGAAATAAGGAAGGGGTGTGCTGTATAATAAAGCTTCTTGGACAAGGCCTTATAATGTTGGAGTAAGACAATATGTACACTGATCCTACGATTCACGCCATGGCAACACTAACAGAAACTTAACTCAGCGACTGTAATTAATGTAAACATGAAAGATGAGGGGTTTGGGATATTGGCAGTTTGGAGGGATATGTTGTGTATCTCTATACGTATATGCTTCTAAACTGTTGTATTCTGAGCACCTCTGCAAAAGCAGTGATAATGTGTGTGTGTGGTGAAAGTGTTGAATGATGATGAAAGTATTTTCTTTTTGGGGATTTTCTTTCTTTTTTGGGTCACCCTGCCTCGGTGGGAGACGGCCGACTTGTTGGAAAAAAAAAAAAAAAAAAAAATGAAAGATGAGTTCTCATCCTACATATGCAACACTATAAGGTAGTTAGACTTTGCATACTTAAAACCATTCTCACTAATCAGCTGAAATACTGATCTTAAACATTCCAGAACTCCATGACTATAAGCACATTTTACCCCAAAATAAGTAGAGAAAATTTGAACTTCTATATTTTCATGCTAATTTAGGAAAAACAGAGTGAAGAAAGTCTAAAAACTATTCTTGTGGAGAATGTACTTGCCAGTTAAATCCAAGAAGCTCAAGTCATAAGGAACCAAATTTAGAAAACACTTGAGAAGAAATGAACAAGGACAAATACAGTGATCATGTATGAGTAATGGTGAAAGTGTTGAGTGATGATGGAAGTTTTTTTCTTTCTTTTTGGGTTACCCTGCCTCAGTGGGAAATGGCCAACGTGTTAAAAAAAAAAAAAAAAAAGTTTCTTTGGGAAGGCACTCCTGGTTTACAAACGTCAAAGCTTTGGAAAGGCATTCATGTTTACAAACATCAAAGTTTTCCTTGATAGAAATCAATGATAAGTGGAGATTTTGGATTTCTAATAGACCTGCCTAAATGTCAAAGGTCTTGATCTTGAGTTTGCTTCACTGGTACCTTAATTAATAGTGGTGAAGCATACAATGGTCCATGAGACTCCTGAAAGATGTTTAAAACCGGCAAAGGTTTTCCATGCCGTTGACTGTTGCTAATAAACAGTGATGAATCTGGCTAAAAGATTTTACCTACTAATTATCTGGAAGTTTAAGGCTAGGTCACAAAACTGGGGATAAATTAAGAGATAATTATAGCATTCCTAACAGCTGAGACGTCAGTATTGTAAGAAGCCATTTAAATAGTGTCTGAATCACTGACACATCAACAAAACTAACTTCCATGGTAGAATCTTTATCACAAATGGACTTCACTGTTGTTTCAACAAAGCACAATGAACAAACCTTTTCCCTGAAGCACGACAATAAGTCGTGCAAAAAGCATCTATCACCATCTTCCAGAATGGAGAAGCAAGTAGAATGACCATAAATTTGAATTATGTTATCCATGCTGTTGCAAGATTTTTGCCTGACTGAATCAGGCAGCTGACTGGTGATTGCAGGCAGTGCAAATGGCAGTGCTAAAAGGAAAGCAAACACAAGACTATCTGAGCAAGAACATGAATACACACACTGTTACTGTTGAGAGGGGACAGTGTACCAATAAGGCGTTTTCTAAAACTGGTTTTAACTACAAGTGGTCAAACTTACCTAGAACAGTTATAATTAGAAGAGGGGCAGGGGTGACTTACAAGAATTACAAGGATACTCTGAGCCTCCTTCCTACCTCTCTCCCTAATTTCCTACCTACAAGAGTTACAACAATACTTTCATTCTCCTCCGTCCCTGGTAAATGGAGCTTGAACACAAATATTAAGCAAAAATGGAGGAAAGCATTTAGTAAAAACACCAACCTGTTTTAAATAGAAGTCAAGGTCATGCCCATCACAATACTCCAGGACAGTACAGAAGCTATTGGCATCAATTTCAAACACGTCGTAGAGCTTGACTATACGGGGATGGTTTAACTTCTTCTGGATATTGTACTCTCTTATGGCATGTCTGAAACAGAAAAATGCTTAATTATAATATGTGCAGATCAATGTGCTTTTAATTAAATCAGTAGCCTGTTTCTTGCACTGATAACTAATTGTAATGACAATAACTCCATCAAACTAACTGATCAACAAAAAATGGCTAAGTACAGGGAATGCATCAGAGACCATAATTTTTTAAACAGTCTGCACGCAGGAATGTGGTACAATATGTAAAAAATGACGTTCATGCTGATTATGCTGAATCTCAGCGAAATACTTAGAATTATTCTTATATTCATTTGAAAGTGCTGAGCTCATAAAGGTCATACAGAATGTGGGAGAATCAAATTTGTTTCAAGGAAAGGAAGAGTAGTTCCAATTCCTTGGATCAAGAGCCCTTCACCAGCTTCAAGGCACACCCTCTAAGAGTGAAATGTCTGGAAGACTGATGACACTGAGGAGACACTTTGTGATAAAGAAAAATGGAATATTCACCTAGGTCAGGGTGTCTCAACCAACTTGCCACAGAACCGGTAAGTTGTTTTATCATAATGCAGTAGTGTTCACCAACCGTCACATTATCTTCATGTTAAAATTTGGACAGAAGTGGCAATAATATTTGGGATGGCAAGGAAAATGTAAACAAAGAGAAATTATATTACTTGTTTGCAAGCAAGTGAAAATATTCAGCCATCACAGTGTGATATTTAAATATCTACTGCGAGTCTTGTGGGCAAAGACACACTTGCAATACTGAGGACATTTATTAAAACAACATTTTGCCCACCAAGGGCTTTGTCAATCCTACATTGTTTAATGAGAACTAAACTTAAACAGTGGAAAGGTCTGGTTAAGAGAAGTCAGGTCGGGTAAGGCCAGGGAATGGTAGTGTGTGGTGTGTGCGTGGGTCCATGGTGTTACCTGACTGCAGTGTCTTGTTGAGAGGATAAGAAATATCTTTGCAAGCATACCAGAGTTTTACACAACTGTGTTAGATACTGCTATCCTGGTTGCTTCTCAACAATGCCACTTCTGTGGGTTGTCCTCTTTCATTAACCCGTAAACGGTCCAAACGTATACTATACAGTATACGTTTTTTCAACATTTGAAAGTATGTAAAAAAAGTAGATCTTCTTTTTTGTTTTTTTACATTTGAAAATGTGTAAAAAAACTTTGATCTACATTTTCTTTTTGTTATATTTGAAAACATGTAAGAAAAAACGTAGATCTACTTTTGTAGCACTACACATGTGAACGTAGATCTGCTTGGACCGTTTATGGGTTAACAGACTCTACTTTCATCCTATTTCAAGAGATGATTGTGTGTTGCTACATATCACACGTCACTTGCTCTGACCATGAAGGCTGCAGAGGTACTGTTTTTTTTTTTTAACATAGTGGCTATTTCCCACTGAGGGAGGGTGACCCGAAAAAGAAGGAACACTTCCATCATCACTCCACGGCATGCCAATACTGCAGTTCAAAAACTGCAACATATCTCCATCCCTCCTTCACAGGTATTTATGTTACTGAATTCATTGCTCGAGGGTGCCATGTACCTTGCCTTTGTATACTTCGTCACACATCCCGCTAAAGATTCTGTACAAGCCGGCTCGTCTTAGACTCTTCTGGTTGGCCTCTTTTTGACTGTCTTTAATGGTGAAGGGTAGTTTTTAACAAGTACTCTAGAAATTTTGTTGGCTATGTTGCTGAAGGAGAGAAAAATATATCTGGTGAACGCTCTCTCAGAAGTAACTCTGTTAATAATGCAGATGGAGACCTTTCTACAAAGGTTAGGTACTGTGGAAAATGTAGGCAGTTAAATATTTGTGTAACATGGTCACACTCCTCTTTGAGGACTTACTGGATGGCAATTGTGTGTTCTCTGTAAAAGAAACCAATGATTGCCTCCTCTCCTGGGTGTGGTGTTATGGTGTTCATGTGCTAAGTGTTGCACAAGTGTTATTACCTAACAGTGTGTCAGCACAGTACTACTGCACTGTGCCTCTTAGTAATGAAGGACATATTACTAATATTACAATGACTACAGTAAGTCAGAGTAAAATGGATGACATAATACTCTCCATTATATTAAATTTAACTGTGAAGTTTAAAATAAACCCCAAAATAATACAGTACTTATAAAAACCATCATTCAGTTTCACTCACTTTATATAATTTGCTTTTTTATCATCTTTCCAATCTTTATTTAACTGGTGGACTTTGCACGCTACGTATCGCTGCTCCTTAAGATCAAATGCCTGAAAAAGGAATAATTGATCATAAAACCAGCTAATAACCATTTACATATAATAAACTGTCAAGAGATATATTCAAGACTTATATACAATATTAATTCTCTTCATAATCTATCATGCAATGAATCATTTTCATGATTACTTATTGTTAAATACCACAAACATTCCATATATATTTTTTTTATCACATCAGCAGTCTCCCACCAAGGTAGGGTAATTTCAAATAAAAGGAAACATTCATCATTCATTCAATAGTTGTCTTGCCAGAGGTGCACAGATATCACCTCTGACTCTTCATTACTTCTACCAGGTTTTATTCTTCCCTGCTCAATGCAGATCACTCTCTCTTTTATCAAGACTAAACAATTTCTCAACATATTCCTTCCATCTTCAGTGGGATATGGTTGGTGCATTGAGAGGAAAAAAAAAAAATCTTTCCATCTCTCCAGCACCTCTATCTTCCCATCGAACATCTTCCCTCTCATTCTTAGTCTTCATAATCTATCACATTACAAATTATTTTAACATATACTACTTTTAGTGACTATTAAATAGGTATTCCATTTTACAGATTTAAAAATTGGTTATGATAAACTAAGAGATTAACTATATTCAATTCTATCAAACAGTGAGTATGGTGTACATACAGCACAATGCAAGTCATCGACTGCGATAAACAGACACCACAACAAAACCATGAAATGATTTCATGGTCCTTTGTGCCTTGTGTAACTATCAGGTGGAGCCAGAGTGACAGCCTTAGTTATGGGTGAATGTTATCTCAGCTTCACTGGCTGCCATTCTCCTTTGTTTCAATAGGGGTTATAAAAGGTGTCTAATTTGATTTATATACTTATTAAGAAATAGCTTTAACAAGAGATACAATACTTATTGAGACAGATGGCACAATACCTTTTTTTTTTTTTCAACAAGTCGGCCGTCTCCCACCGAGGCAGGGTGACCCAAAAAAGAAAGAAAATCCACAAAAAGAAAATACTTTCATCATCCTTCAACACTTTCACCACACTCACACATTATCACTGTTTTTGCAGAGGTGCTCAAACACAACAGTTCAGAAGCATATACGTATAAAGATACACAACATATCCCTCCAAACTGCTAATATCCCGAACCCCTCCTTTAGAGTGCAGGCATTGTGCTTCCCATTTCCAGGACTCAAGTCCGGCTATATAAAAATAACCGGTTTCCCTGAATCTCTCCACTAAATATTACCCTGCTCACACTCCAACAGATCGTCAGGTCCCAAATATCATTCGTCTCCATTCACTCCTATCGAACACACTTATGCACGCCTGCTGGAAGTCCAAGCCCCTCGCCCACAAAACCTCCCTTACCCCTTCCAACCTTTTCGAGGACGACCCCTACCCCGCCTTCCTTCCCCTACAGATTTATATCCTCTCCATGTCATTCTACTTTGAACCATTCTCTCTAAATGACCAAACCACTTCAACAACCCCTCTTCAGCCCTCTTGTCTAATACTTTTATAAACTCCACACCTTCTCCTAATTTCCACACTCCAAATTTTCTGCATAATATTTACACCACACATTGCCCTTAGACAGGACATCTCCACTGCCTTCTTGCTGCTGCATTCACAACGCAAGCTTCACACCCATGTAAGAGTGTTGGTACTACTATACTTTCGTACATTCCCTTCTTTGCCTCCATAGATGACGTTTTTTGTCTCCACATATACCTCAATGCACCACTCACCTTTTTTCCCTCATCAATTCTATGATTAACCTCATCCTTCATAAATCCATCCACCGACACGTCAACTCCCAAGTATCTGAAAACATTCACTTCTTCCATACTCCTCCCCAATTTGATATCCAAATTTTCTTTATCTAAATCATTTGATACCCTCATCACCTTACTCTTTTCTATGTTCACTTTCAACTTTCTACCTTTACACACATTCCCAAACTCATCCACTAACCTTTGCAATTTTTCTTTAGAATCTCCCATAAGCACAGTATCATCAGCAAAAAGTAACTGTGTCAATTCCCATTTTGAATTTGATTCCCCAAAATTTAATCCCACCCCTCTCCCGAACACCTAGCATTTACTTCCTTTACAACCCCATCTATAAATATATTAAACAACCATGGTGACATTACACATCCCTGTCTAAGACCTACTTTTACCGGGAAGTAGTCTCCCTCTCTTCTACACACCCTAACCTGAGCCTCACTATCCTCATAAAAACTCTTTACAGCATTTAATAACCTACCACCTATTCCATATACTTGCAACATCTACCACATTGCTCCTCTATCCACTCTATCATATGCCTTTTCTAAATCCATAAATGCAATAAAAGCTTCCTACCTTTATCTAAATACTGTTCCCCATATATGCTTCAATGTAAACACTTGATCTACACATCCCCTACCCACTCTGAAACCTCCTTGCTCATCCGCAATCCTACATTCTGTCTTACCTCTAATTCTTTCAATTATAACCTACCGTACACTTTTCCTGGTATACTCAGTAAACTTATTCCTCTATAATTTTTACAGTCTCTTTTTGTCCCCTTTCCCTTTATATAAAGGGACTATACATGCTCTCTGCCAATCCCTAGGTACCTTCCCCTCTTTCATACATTTATTAAACAAAAGTACCAACCACTCCAACACTATATCCCCCCCTGCTTTTAACATTTCTGCCATGATCCCATCAGTTCCAGCTGCTTTACCCCCTTTCATTCTACGTAATGCCTCACGTACCTCCCCCACACTTACATTCTGCTCTTCTTCACTCCTAAAAGATGGTATACCTCCCTGACCAGTGCATGAAATTACTGCCTCTCTTTCTTCCTTAACATTTAAAAGTTCCTCAAAATATTCTTGCCATCTACCTAATACCTCCATCTCCCCATCTACTAACTCCCCTACTCTGTTCATATGCCTTTTCTAAATCCATAAATGCAATAAAAACTTCCCTACCCTTATCTAAATACTGTTCACATATATGCTTCAATGTAAACACTTGATCTACACATCCCCTACCCACTCTGAAACTGCCTTGCTCATCCGTAATCCTACATTCCTTCTTACCTCTAATTCTTTCAATTATAACCCTACCGTACACTTTTCCTGGTATACTCAGTAAACTTATTCCTCTATAATTTTTACAATCTCTTTTGCCCCCCTTCCCTTTATATAAAGGGACTATACATGCTCTCTGCCAATCCCTAGGTACCTTCCCCTCTTTCAGGGGGAATCGCTACCACAAAACTGAAAGTTGCTGAACGGCACATACACAAAAACAGAATGCAGAGAATGCACTCTTTGTGTTGATGACAAAGTCTTGTTACAACAAGTTTAAGTAATGGGACCTCAAAGCCTAGATACCTTCCCCTCTTTCATACATTTATTAAACAAAAATACCAACCACTCCAACACTATATACCCCCCTGCTTTTAACATTTGTGTCATGATCCCGTCAGTTCCAGCTGCTTTACCCCCTTTCATTCTATGTAATGCCTCACACACCTCCTCCACACTCACATTCTATTCTTCCAATACCTTATAGTACATATATGATAACAAGGAATCTTAGTGATAATGGGATACTAGAAAGTTCCTTAAATATCCTTGTAACTGATAAAATAATATACACCAGAATATGCTCCTGCTAACCCTTTTAGAGCCTAGTTCCTAGGTCTTTTATGTATCCATATACTCTTGCCCCACCATCTATAGGATAGACATGGGGTGTACAATAAACCAGATATTTCAAAGAAAAAATCTAAATCTGAATCATCTTGACATGGAAAAGCTCTTTACTCAGCAAAATATTTGTGTTAAAACTTGACCCTGACTGGTGTTTCCTTCAGAATAATAAAACATTTAAAATTGTCTATTTCTCTGTTCAATTAGTGGTTAGTGTGTATTGAGGCATATAGGCAATGCTGCTCTCTACATCCAGATAATAATTAATTACACCTAGATATTCCCGTAAGAGCATCTTAGCTGTAATGCTGAATCTCATTCTCGTATCAGACAAATACAGAAACACAAGCGCCAGCTGAACATTGGCCATTATTATCATAAAAAAAACCTCGAGTTTTATGACTCACTTGCCACAGGCTCTAACCCCACCCGTACTGTGGTTTTTTCCTTGTTAAAGAGCTAAAAGCAACATGTCAAGCATGATAAAGCTTAGAGCTTGACAAAGAAAACAAAGCTTCAGGAGTGTGCTAGGGTGAATGGTTAGTAGTTTTGAGTATTAAAAATAAAACTTGAAGCATCTGTAAAACACGTACACACGTGACCACGACGTGTGAAGCAGTCATCCTCACATTAAGAAATAAGACTGTGACCAAAGTAATCATACCAATATAGTGACACAAAGCAGGAAAATTTCTTTTCCAGGTATACTCCAGGTATGGGATTACATGCCCTTTGTTCTCAATACAGCCTCTCCTCACTTAACGATGGAGTTCCGTTCCTAAGACCACGTCGGTAAACGAATTCATCACTAAGTGAGGAGCACACTATAATGGTAGTGGGGTTTGTGTCAACCATCGATGATATTATTTTAATGTCACCTTTGCACCATTTATAACATTTCTCATATACTTGTATTTAGGTATGCATACTGGTCAGAGCCCGTTGTAAGTCCGAGTCGTCAGTAAACAAGTACATTGCTAAGTGAGGAGAGGCTGTATTTTAACCTCCTTTTATGACTGGCACAGCCTATGAGGAAAGAAGTCAAACCTACTTCCACAAGGAAGTTAACAATCTGCCCTATTATTATTATTACATTCATGAGGAAGCACTTAAATCCAGTGGTCATACGGCATTTGGGTAATGTGAAGCAATCAGGTTTGACCCCAAGGAAGGGGAGGATATGTACAATTCCTTGGATCACGAGCCCCCTCCTCAGCATCGACGCTCATGAGGGTAAACAGGAGTTCTACTTCTATTAACTTAGAAACACAGCAAGGGTGACAGACAAGAATATAGATAATTGAAGCACACTTGACAAACCTTCCCACATTAACCATTACTTCTATAACGTTCACCATCTGGAGTTTTCAGATAAAATGGAATAAAAATAAATTACTGCTCACCTTATGAACTTCAGAAAACCCTCCTTTTCCTAATAACATGAGCAACAGGTACCGGTCATTTAAAACTGGATGATTGTTGAATCTGCAACAAGAAAGCATTATATTAAATGATAGCTAGCAAAACAAGCAAGTCTTTTATTGAGCAACTTGTTTTTCAAGATTTTCAAAAGCATAAGGAAATTATGATATTTATCCAACAAGTGGGTGCTATGATTCATACCATCTCATCTTTTAATAGTTAAAATATACAGTATTTGTTAATCAACTGAATCTTAGAATACCTACCATCTATAGCCCTACAAGATGCAGAGGATATGTTTATTGCTCTAATATTCCTTTCACTTCTCTGCTTTGAATTAAAATATGACTAATGTAAAGCAACTCATTCAAACCACCCTGCTACCTTATTAAATACTCTAACAGGATAGTCGCCATTTTTACTAATAAAAAAAAAAACCTTACCAACCATTCTTACTATATGGGTAGTCACCTCACTCCCTTGATGACTGCTCTTAGTGATGAAACTCACGTTACTTTGGTCTGGACACATATACTAAAAGTGAGAAGGATGTGTGCTTACTCTGATACAGGTTTAGAAAGTTGCAAACATCTGGCAGCTTGGGTCAAACCACCAAACCATCGCCTGAGAAAGAGCCACGTTTCAGCGCACAATCCCAATTCCAAACACGTAAATTTATCAACACCAAGAAAGGCCTACAATGCTTTAAAGGACATGGCTGTTCTTTCATGAGATACAGTCATTCATAGGATCAAATCATTGCTTTTAGAAGACATGGCTGTTCTTTCATGAGATACAGTCATTCATAGGATCAAATCATTGCTTTTAGAAGACATGGCTGTTCTTTCATGAGATACAGTCATTCATAAGATTAATCATTGCTTTTAGAGGACATGGCTATTCTTCCGTAAGATAAAAAGTGATAGAAGCCAATCAGTATTTTTTTTTTACAAGACATGCCCCCTTTTTTTTCAAGATACAGTGATAGAAACCAATCAACCCTTTGAGAGTATGTGCCAGTTTTGTTCATAAAATAATATGACAAGAACCAGTCAAAAGGCATATAATGACTACCTCCCACCAACAGAGAGCTCGACTAACCCAGTGAGAGCATGCAAGTGCAGATCAACAATTTAGTCACTTTTATGGATCTAAACTGGCTGCAACATGTAGCAATTACTGAAATTCTTACTTTACAAATTGGTAAATATTGTGACTCCACAGGAGAACTTTCAATATTACACAAGACATCAGTTTAAAAATCACTCACTATAAAATTAATAGTGACATCACAACACAATACTTTCGAACATAATGAAAACATCATGGGTGGAAATATCATTAGCAAATTCTTCAGGATAAAATGACAAAATGTACAATAAACACAAAATATAAGCATGTTGTTAAAAATAACATAGTAATGCCTCTTACTAAAACCTTACATTGCTAACAACCAAATGAGTCTGCCTGCCTTCAACTCTTCACAGCAGGTGTTTCCAACTTTAGTTAGGCTAGATTTAGTCAGCTTCGGTTAGTTTGGTTAGTGTAATACTGACTGATAAGTGGGGTTATGCTAAGGTCATAGTACACAAATATCCTGCACATAAGAGAGAGAAGCTTATGATGACATTTTGGTCTGACTTGGATGATTTGCAAGTCACTTGTAAATGGTCCAAGTCGGACCCAATCATCATCATGATTGGGTCCTATGTGCAGGTTATATGTGTGTTGTTCCAGTCACAGTATTGTACCTTTTTGCTGTTTAATCATCACAGTTACTGTATGACATCCAGAAAACACATGCCAATCTGTATTATCAGAATGGCTGTCAGCAAAATAAAATTTTAATAATGGGTGCCATCTAATGGTATCCAAAGTACAGAATATAACAAGTTATATATCTGTGATGAATGGTTTGAAAAAATGACAAGTTGAAGATTGAGACACTTATGCAGCATATGGGAATCTTTATTCAGGAAACGTTTCGCCACACAGTGGCTTCATCAGTCCAATACAAAGAGGAAGGCCTCCTTACGCCTTCCTCTTTGTATTGGACTGATGAAGCCACTGTGTGGCGAAACGTTTCCTGAATAAAGATTCCCATATGCTGCATAAGTGTCTCAATCTTCAAGTTATATATCTGCTATAATACAAAGAAGGGAAAATTCTAATCTATCAATTTCAATGTCTTTTTTTTTTTTTTTTTAGGTTATTCTGAACAAGGATGCCCTTGGTTTTTTTTTTTTTTTTTCAAAACTCAGTTTCCCCACATCACAAGCCTTCATAGTCACAAGAATGATTAAAATATTGTCATTCAAATTATAAAAGAATTAATTTTGTAAAATTTTTCCTCGTTACCGTATTTCAGTGTTCACGAACAACATGAGTCAGACGTGTGTGCTACTACCAGCATGAATAATACACAAGTCACAATATTACAAACTTCCACAAAAACTGGTATATTCCTGTTACCACTGTATCAACAGTGAGTATCACTAACCCATCAGTATTAGAGGCTGGGCTTTAAATTCAAAGAAAAAGGTTGGCAATGTATGCAAAAAGCCTTTCAATTTATAATAATGAAAACAAAATTCATATGCTTTCAAAAACCGGTTCATCAAAATAAAGGCATCGTTCTATTAAAATATCTCCAGCATCCTCCAGTGATCAAGTCTCCTAAGTAGTGCTCATACATGCTTACCACAAGTATGTACTTAACTACAGGTTTAAATGCACAACAATATCACTTGTCAAACTTTTAGCTGTAATATATCAATCCCTTAGAAAATGATGAAAAATTTGCCCAATAATAGAGAGCCATCAGTTCACTCCTCAGTGACTACTTTCAATCCCTTCAACACTGAGAATATATTTCACTCCCTCAGAGCCTCTTATTTTCAATCCCTCCAACCCCAAAAGTAAAGTACATCTCACTTCCTTGGAGAGACTACTTTCAATCCCTCCAACCCCAGGAATATGTCTCACTCCCTCGGAGACTACTCCATGTCATGGGGGTTTTGGGGGGTGAAGCTGGGATTGAAGGATTTGAAAGGAAACAGGCAAAACTTTTAGCTCAAAGCCCAATTTGATCCTAACATTTACCTTAATAAAAATGTCACAAATTTTTGTTTATACTTTTTTAAATCCGGGTCTGGTTACTGGGTAGTACACCAGTTTTACTCAATTCCACACCAATGATCATCAATAGTTCCAAGGTAAAGTGTGCTTTACAATACAGTGAACCCTTGATTTAATGAACTAATAGGGAAAAGGTGTCCATTAAACCAACTGTCAGTTAAAAAAGACTATGAAAACATTTGTACTGTGCTTAAAAAATACTGCAAGATAAAAAAACCACACATTGCAACCTCTGGGTATCTTTTTTGTAGATTTTTTGCCTACCAGTGGCTTTATCAATACAAATTCAAGGGCATAATATGAAGACAGTAGAACTGTATACGAAAGATGAGGTAATCAGCCCATTAGCTGAGGGACTGATTACTTCGTCTTTTGTATACAGTTCTACTGTCTTCATATTATGTCCTTGAATTTGTATTGATAAAGTCACTTGATGGCGAAACGTTTACAATAAAATCCCAAGATTTTGCCAGTCAATTCTTAATAGAATATTTTCCAAGGATGCAACAATAATGGATAATTCTGGATTTAACGGACAAAGCTTAAATCTAGAACTGTCTGTAAAAAATAATTAACAATTCTGATTTGGTGGACAATATCTGTTAAATTCAAAATGTATTTACCAAGGGGACTGTAAGAATAAGACAATTATGGTTTTAATGAACATTATTTGTTGCTTCTGAACCTTGTCCGGTCACAGATTTTTGTCTACTAAAATTGGGGTCTGGTAAATCAGGTTTTTACTGTACTATTACCCTTCTTTGTCAAAAACATTTTACACAGTGATACACGGGGGAATTTAGATAAACCTTTTTTTAAAAACATGCTCGCCAAATATTAAAAATTTAAATTTTAAAAAAGATATAACTGTACACACAGCTACAAAAATTTCTGGATTTTTAGAATCAAAAGTTAATCCGAATAAGAAGGCCTAAGTTTTAAAGGCAGACAATGAAACATTATATTTCCAAATAACACCCCGGTATTCCTTTGCTACAGAAATACACTTCTTGGCTAACTATAAACATCGAATTTTCTGCAAATAATCTTTTTTTCTAAAAATAAAGAAATGAAAAAAGTCACTTTTTTTTAAAAAATTTGAAAACCCCGTTGCATGTACAGTGGGTCAATACGATAGTGGTGATCACAAAAACTCTGGGAGGCCAAAAAAAGTGAAGACAAAAAGTAATGATTTAAAATTTCCTGCTTAAATATTGGGAAACTAATAGAAAAATGTGATGACGGTCAGATTACTGAATAATACTGGATAAAAAAATGCTGAGATTGTTGCTGCTGGGATGGAGTTTTCGTGTTCTAGTGGGCACTATCTTACAATGTGAAACAGTACATATACAAGAAATTATGAAAGGACAATAACACCCAAAAGGGGTGAATTTTTTCACCCCTGTAGAATGTCAATGTAAAAAGATAAATGTGGGTTAATTTATGCCATTACCTCACCATTTGTGGTTAAAATGTTTTAAGTACAGGTGCCCTCGACTCACAATAGGCTTACTTGAACCCCTTATAAGTTGAAAAAATTAAAACTGTATTTTTTTTTTTAACACGTTGGGGCCCTCCCCACCAAGGCAAAGGTGACCCGAAAATAAACCTTTCCCATCTTCACACACGTCTTGCAGAGGCATGCAGATATGACAGGTTTAAGAAATAAATAAATAATAGCACAATAAGTAAAGGAAATATAATTCTTCTTTCTTTCAACACTCCGGCCGTATCCTACCGAGGCGGGGTGGCCAAAAAGGAAAAACAAAACCTAAATACCAGAACTAAAAATACCAGAATTAAAAAGTAAAAAATGAGCACAAGTTTATCCTATCAATACATGTACAGTAGTGTACAGTAAAGAATGTACAATGCTACTGCACCATTGTAAGTTGAACCATCATAAAGTAAGGAGCATCTGT